CTATTTCAGGTGGGTTCAGTTTAAATTTTATTGAATAATTTAATCCAAATATCTTTATTAATGTTCCTACATTTAAGAAAATGTCCCCAAAACGTCTAAACAACAGGTTGAACTAATTTGAATAATTTAAACCTGTTGTGTAATGTAAAAAATATTAATGATAAAATCTTTTACATAAATTTAAATTTAAAAAGATTTCTGTTCCAATGTGACCTTGTATGTATGAAGAGTGTTTTAGACAGTAGTGTGATGAAAGTAACCTTTTATGAGTAACAGAAAATATGTACACGGCTTCGTTGTTAATAATTTTGACGACCAGTACGTTTAATTTAATTAAGCTTAAATAAAGTTGTTAATTTGATACTCTGTGTAAAATATGTAATATTGACGCGTGATAAATGCGATATACATAGTAACCACTATCAACAAAGGCTTAAATTGGAAGTAATTGTTTATGCATTGTTCTCTTCTAGCATTCTGTTAATAACTGTGTAAAATATTTGCATTTATATTTATTTGTCATCTGTGAAATCCCAGTGAAACTCTTTAGGGTATTATTTCATTAATGTATTCCCTGAGGTACGGTATAGATCCAATGTATTAAGGTAATAAATCGTGTGGAATATTTTAAAACTGCCAATAACATAAAATAAACATATACAACTAGTTAATTATAATTTTATTTGTTTTCTGATTAATTAATATATAATTACCATCCTGGTATTTTAACAAATGCTCATTTAATTCTGAATCAAGTTGTAATATAACAAGAACATATTTGTGGCTAGTCAGATATTTAAATTTCAGATTAACTGTCACGCAATCGCTTTTAAGATGTTTCAAAGGAAATAACAACCCAGAAATTTTCCTTTGAGGGCATGAAGTAAACCACGTCAGTTGAGCTTTCGCTACAGTTGATCTTTTTCATGGTGGAGTTGTTGAGCCGTGTAGTCTGGAAAAAGAATACAGAATAAGCGAGAGATCTTACTTCTCGACTTTTAAAGTAGAAAACGACGAAAATGTATGAATTTCTATCATGAAAATGCACAAGAAACTGCATGAGAAAAGAAGAAACAAATATACTTCTTGAGTAAAATTTCAGGTTTCCACTTTGATCTATTTTTCAAAATTTTCATTGACTAGTGATGGTGGTGTATAATAATGGAACATGTTTTAAACGTTTCGAAGTATCGAACATTCTCTCTTCAGGAAAGGATTAATTAGAATGAATAAGGGGTGGCTTATACCAATATTACAGGTCGCAGGAGAATACCAACAAATTACTTTGTACACCGTCTTCATGATTTGTTTGTTCAGGAAACAATACACTGAAAATTTTCCTACTCTTCATTATTTGGGACTGAAATGGTTTTGTACGAAATCATTTACTAAATAATGAGTTATGGACAAACGTGAAATGTTATCTGATGAAAAATATGCTGTTCGCAAAACTACATATTTCCAAATAATGTTATAAATTTCAAAATTTAGTAATTTCCTTATAAAATCAGATGACAACTCTGTACACAAACACTAAATGGAGCACTGGAGGACTGTTTCTATCAACGGAACTATTCTTACGACAAAATACAAAGCCTTTTCATAAAAAAACCGTTGTGCAACATGCTACTTTATTACGTGGTTTAAATAAAAACAGGAATCAACAGCTGTTTAATAAAGGATGCATGCGACATCGAGATTGAGATTGTCCCTCTTGTTCGCCGAATAATAGGAGTGGGGCCATTTTCGACCCCAATTCCCACAGTAGTACAGCCAGAGGGAGAAGCATTATATGATGGTGAAGATAGCCTCTATAAAACGTCTCAGAAAGCATGGAAACTCCATTACCGAAACTCTGCCATATTCGTAAATCTGTACTGCTGGAACAGCAGTCAGGATCATTCCTTTTTTATCCCTCTGGACCATAAGACTCCTACCCCTTACATCTCCTTCCTCACAAACTGCTCCAGACTCCCCCTCCCCGTGAAGTACAATTACAGATACATTTTATTATAAAAAAGCTACATACCTTTCTTGACCATTATTCTTCTGTTCATGTAGTTATTTTTGCCAGTAAGTTTAAAGTACGATCACCCAAACACAGAATCCGTGAATATACCCTCTTATGTGATTTATTAACCATTACATTTTACTTCTATCACCGGTATGAAATCATTTGATAATTATTGAGGTCACTGGTTGATACAATACGTTATGATTTCCCTTAATTATATTTCCGATAAAATATAAGTAAAACTCTTGACGCAGTTTAGGCTGAAAATTGATTTTATACGTAATTATAAATTATGTACTGCAGATTTTAATAATCGGTTATATTGTACAATACTAAAGGTAGAATTTTTCAGAGTTCCGAAGGGATCCATATCCTTCTTCGAAACCGCGATGAACATCTATAATTTTACTGCCAATAGGAATTTATGTTGCTAATATTTATAAATATGAAGATTTCAAGTCAGATCATTATCTCAGAGACTGAATATCCTTACAGGTTGGTCATGGGTTTCCTCAGCACGTCTAGACTGATGTGAAAAACCGTTGGCATTTGCACTAAGTTTTAAGTCGGAATAAAAGTCTGCTGACATTTATTATTTCAGACCCTTAAAACATTGTTGGACTCGGAAAACTGTAATTCAATAGCTGTTATATTTGATTACTTGTGCAGAGTGAGTAGAAGAACAGACGAATCTCGTCTGTTATTTTAATGGTATTTTAAAACCAGAATAAAGTTCATGTAACTACAAACACAAAGTGACCCTTGTTTATGTTACGTTGTTTTTTTCTTCTCGTTGTATTGTCACAGTTGTTCCTATTAGTACCAGATGCGGATAAGTTCTCTTGCGGTTGACGTTTATATACGATGGTAGCGGATGGAGCAGTGATGCGTCATCATTTTCACCGCGGAAGCACAGATGACGTAAAGCCCAGTACTTTGTCTCGTGTGCTCCAACACTGTCATTTCTAAAGTCTACATTTATTCGTTACTACAAACGTTTATGTAGAAAAACTCTTATTATGGTTAACACCTTGAAGCGTGATCTCGTTGAAATCATATTTGTTAATTCAGACCTTACCGCAATGAAAACAGCATACTTTACCATTTGAAAGATCGATAGGCCAATGCTGTTTAAGGGAATAATCACTGTTCATTGTGAGAACTGTACGAAGCACATAAATACAAAATGAAGAGTTGACTCTTGAAGCAACTGCTACATATATTAACCATTGGAATTTAAATGTTTAATTAAGACACTAACTCCATGAATAAGAGTCTTGTCGATATCCCGTTATCTACTTCAGAAAATTCTGAATTGTCAGTACCATGTTCGCAAGTATCCATCACTATTCTCAGCCACATTAATCCACTTCACACGTTCCAACCCCATTTCCTTAATATAACTTTTAATATTATCCTCCAGTCTTAGCCGAGGTATTTTAGATTTTCCGGCGAAAATTTTGCAAGCATTTTTTATCTTACACCCACCTGCTACATGCTATGCTCATCTCATATTCCTTGATTAGTTCATCATAATTATATTTTGTACTGAGACTACCAATAAGTAAACTGCGTCCTTTCAAGAACCACACTATTACGTTTTTAGAGATAAGTTAATGTAAATCAGGCATATAAAATCATTCTGCCCCCCCAGTCTCTGCTTATCATTGTTTATGTTACAAGATTAATTACCACGACGTCTCAAATATACGCAATGTGCAAAAATGTCATATCCAGAAATACCGGTGTGACAACCGAAATACGAAACACAGACCTCTCAAATACAGAACAAATTATTTTATTTCGTGTCAAAATTCTCGACCTTAGTTGTTCGTTGTAATGAATAATTGGGTTTCACTGCAGGTAGTTTGCCGATCATCTGAACATCTATTAGGGAGAGCCTGTTAATCGTGAACTGCGTAATGTGGAGTACACACAGTATCCCGTTAAGTGGAAGGGATGGCCTTGTAATGGATATTCGAGCTGTAATCTGTTACGGATTTATGGAATGTTCCCAGTATTACACTGAATCCACGTCACCCGACAGATCTCATTACTAGAGTATTAACTGATCATGCTAAGGGAATGTGTTGAGGTAAAGTGGCAACACTGATAGCATTGCTCACAGGGAAACGACCACGTCTTCACTACCAACTTTGTAAATGTTTTCATTTTTCTGTACCTTCTGTATGTTATTGAGTGGGAGGACTGACAAAAGCTACACACGCATCATTATGGTCCATGCTCATAATAAAACAGGTACACCCTGGATGCATACCGATCGCGTTACTGCCATGTTAGCATGCTCAATTACTGTAAAGAATTATTAAAATAGGTCTGTACATAACACGTGTGTTCACATTATTGGTTTACTGGTTTTTCTGTATTTTATTCAAATTTTTCTTCATTTCTTAGATTTTATTTTATATAAATATGCAGGATACATTATTAAGTAAATTAAAAGTTAGCAATTAACTGTAGAAATTTCATATTCATGTAGATCAAATTAATTGTGGCAGTTAATAACTTTTATAAAAACCTCTGTATTATTAAATCCCTCTACAGTGTTTTCAGAAAGTGTAAATAATCATTACCTACGTATTTATTTTTAAATATAGTCATATTTGAGCATTTTACGAGTTTTTGACATTCTTTCATTTCTAAATACTCCTACACCCTCCACTAAAAATGTAATTCACCCAATCGTGGTTTAATCTGTATAAATTCTATTTGATTTTATTACTTTTTCAGAAAATTTCATTCTGCCGTAAAATAATGTGGTTGAAATTGTGTGCTGCATATTTGGAATATAAACAATACAGAAGCAAGTGTTCAGAATAAATATTTTTCGCATATTAATGTAACACATCATAACTTAACGTATCATTGGCGTAGAAACGTAGATTTGTGTAATTACATTATTTCAGACTAAATAAACATTTAAAATTAAATATCACTGTTTCAAAACGGTTTATCTCTTCTACAGATGTCTGTGTGTCCTATCCCGCTGTGTATCTGGCTGCTGTGGGGTAAGTCATGTATGCAAAACTGTAAATAGCCTGAAAGTTATTTTATATTTGTGGTGCGAATCTGTTTATTTAACATTTCATTCGATTTAAAAATTACTCTGTTCTGAAAAATCAACATTAAAATGTCGTATCATTATATCTTTCGGCTATGACATTTCTTTAATCTCTGTGTGTGTAATTTGTGTTACACAGTTTGAACATACAACATTTCAAAAAGAACGAATCAGTAAGTGAACTCAAGTATTAAGTCGCAAGAACGTCATGGTTTTCTGTTCACCGACGATCAAATTATCATTTGAAATACGAAAGTTTTCTTTCTTCCTATAAAGTATTGATCGGCAGTTAAGTTTAAAAATATTGTTACAAACAAACGAAAGTAATGACATGTTAACAACAATATACATTTCCCTGTAAAATTATGGATTTACTACTGAGAAACAAGTTTAACATTTTAACTGCTTTGAAATTATAATTTTATTAAACTAGTTAATTGAATAAAATAAACGATATCTATATCAAAACGGATCTGGACGATATTTATGATATTAAAACAAGTACAGAGATAAACAAATTTGAAACTTTTATGAAGTGGTTGCAGATATTTTACTCTTAGGACATATCTGACACTTGAGTTGAAAATAACAAAAGAGTTTATAACTATTAAAGCAGTGGAAAATGTTTCGAGGAATATTCCAGATTAGTTACAATTGTGAACAAAGATGCATATTAAATGAACTAAATTCTATCCTGCAAATGAAAAAGTAGGTAATTTTGAAGACAAGCAATTGACCCTTAGAGAGAGAAACTATGAAGATCTGAAATTTATTATATACTAAAGGGTTAGTGAGGTATAGGCAGACCATTTATTAATATTGTTCTTGTTCTTGTTATTATTGAAATGCGTACAATATTTTGGTTTTTAAGCTTAGCCATAGATAGGGGGGTAATATTAAAAAGAATGTTACGGAAATGGGGTCTAGGTATGGATTTGACTTACCTGGAACAGTGGCTGGCTCTTTTGGACGCGATAATGAACATTTGGGTTCCATAACAGATATTTATTTTCTAGCTGGAATTATTGGTAGCTTCTCAAGAAAGACGCTGCTCCATGGAGTTTATTTTGACGATTTAGTTACTAGTTGCAATGCTGAGAATATCGACCATTTGTTCTGAAGTAGACTTTTTCTTTGGCAGTCCGAACGGTGGCTTCGAGTCGAGCTAGAATGTCCGTGTTTTCCGTTTTTGCCGCCCAAAATACGTACCAAAGCTATAAAGGAATTTATTGTTTCAGGAGATTAATTTTAAATCAAAACAAAACAAGCCGGGGGGCTTAATAGATGAACGGCTGAAAAATAAGTTGAAAATGTGGCGTTATTTTCCGTTTGATTAACGCTTCTGCGAATTGGTTAATTGAATTGCCGGATTGCAATTATGTGTTAAATAGTGATATGTATAGTTCGCTGTTTGCTACTCGCTTTGAACATATTCTTGATTTATCCTGCTTAGTTTTGCCCTTTTTGCATTTTATACCACATTCAGTGGCGTTTCATCCCTCGCAGACTTGCCTTCTTCCATTGATAATTATAATATTATTTTTAAGGGCTTTAAGGATTTGTACAAGTTTTTAGACTATTCCGTTCTGATCTGACTTCTTCATCTTCGGATATAAAAAAACAATAAAATTCATTGACCATCTGAATAACTATCAGCTTTTCTATAAGGACACTGTTGGATAGAATTAGATGTTTTTTGGAAAGTATAATGAATTTTTGTCCAAATTATGTGTAATGGAAGGGTTAATTAGTATTGCACAGCAACGAAGCAAAATGAAATTTGCCCAAGAAATTTCAGTTTAGTATCCTAGCCCTTTAGAGCCTAAATGTAACTATTTGTACCACCTGCTTTAACAATCGGTAAGTCTTAAATTTGCCCACAAAATAAATTTAGCGGTTTCATATGAAACTCAGAATATAAAGAGCGACTATGCCTTCAAACATCATGAACCAACTGTTGTTTGTAATGGTTATAGATTGTGCATTCTTTGAGGTGAGGTCTAAATATTTAACTATTATTAAAACGAGTCTCTGCTTTGAAGTTGATAATCTTCGACTGGGAAACAAATTTGAGGTACAGATGGCCAGTACCTCTAGATTTTGCTTTTATATAAATCATATCAATATATCTGGCTGTCCGCCTGTTATGATTAGATAATTACGGAAAAGAGATTTTATTCACGTCCGAAAATATTTAAAAGAATATTCTTATTTTAAAATCACACTTACGTGAGTTTCTGCGAGAGGAAGTGGCCCAGTGTTTCTTTATGTGTACGTTTCCTGACGTGTTCAGTTTGTAGAAGGCAGCAGAAACATTTGGCATTACCTTTATGAAGAAATTAAAAGTAGATTAATTTCAGCAATACTTGTTACCGTTCAGTTTAAAATATTGATTCTTCTTATGCCCTCCCTATAAACGTAAAGACAAAAATACAAAACTGCATAAATTTTAGTAAGAAGGCACTTGCAAGACCTGGGAATAGAATGAGGAATAGGTGTGTGTGAGATGGATACAGCTGGCTCAGGGTTTGAACACTTCATCAGGATGTTATCAACGCGGTAATGAACATTTTGTATGGAAAATATTCATGAATTTTTTCATTAGCTGTTAGTTTATATTTCTAAGACGTACGGAGTTACTCAGTTACGTAGTTAAATAAGCACGTTCTGCCATTATCGTTGTACTGTAGGTTTAGAGCATTACCAAGCCCCATAACTATCCCAGAAGTGTGCAAAAATAACAACTCATATACCTACTAAAGAAATAACACTTTTAATCATTTACACTGCTAACAGAATCTAATGTGCAAACGTGAATGTTACATTAAACTCAATTACAAAGTAACAAATTAAAGAAGAATATCTCTGCAATCCACTGTCATATCACTTTATTTAATTTGACGCTGTATAAATTCAGGAGTTGATAAAGTGTCATAAAATAAACTGTTATTGAACTAATGATTTTGTCATTTTACAGTTAGTCAGCACAGAATTGACAAAAAATTTCCAGTTTGGTGTCAATAAAACATAAGTCTTTGAAACACTTCATGACCACATAGTGTATTACTTAATTTACGTATTTGTTTAAATCTTGTCAGTCTAATCACAATAAAATCCCTATTAAATATTAAAATATTACTATAATTAACATTTAAATATTTAAAATATATTAAATGATGTTCTCTATCGAAATGTTCGATTTTACATTAGATCATCACTTTTTGAAAGTGATGATCTAATGTAAAATCGAACATTTAATATATTTTAAATATTTAAATGTTAATTATAGTAATATATTAATATTTAATAGGAATTTTATTGTGATTAGACTGACAAGATTTAAACAAATATATATTTATCACAATATGACGCAACTTTATCATCTCATTAATTTACGTATTTAAGACTTCTTTTTTCGGCTCCATTTGCTGTATCAGGCCCATATAAGAAGTTTGATAAGTTAAGATGATATTACCTATGTAATATCCCATTACCTTGCATTAACCCCTATCCTGTTGATTCATAATTAACTGAAGCAGAATATCAGTTTCCCTCCTGTAGACTCATCGACCAAATGAAGAGCAGTTTTTTAACTCAACGACGAACAGGATGGTGGGATAGAGACACACCATTCAGTGTTCGACGCCGCTAATTATCTATATATCAGAATAAATAAATAAATAAATTTAAACTTACTAAGCTGAAACTCATCTAAGTAATGTATGTGTCTGTCTTCTGAGTTGTCGCGATGTTTGACCTCGTACATAGGTACCAAAGTTCCGGTGGAACATACTGTCCCTATCTACAGTATATTTAAAGATTCATTTCTTACTGCAAAGAAAAAACAACGTATCTTCATTGCAAAGTTAATTGGTTAATGATTTTTTACGGAAATATTCGTTCACTGTTGTGAGAATCGTACAAACAGGTAAATACACCCTGTGGGCAAAATACATCGATAATAAATGTTAAATCAGGTGGTACATATAGTTACCACTTTCCTTTGAATGATTAAATCAAATGGATAATTGATGAAGCGTAAAAGCATCATGATAGAAATCCGTATTGATCAATTGTGAAGAGAGAACACAGTGTTATAACCGGGACTGTTTATGGCCCCAGGGAATCCAAATAACCGAAATATTAAACAAGCAGTGTTTCTGTCATACTAATTTTCCATCACAGAATAATGAAATGTGGTATGTATGCGATGCATATGATATGCTTATGTACTTCAGTAACAGCGAGAAAAATAATTACGTATAATATTTGACAAGAGATATAATGAAATTTTTAATTCTGATCAACAAATTTAAATATATATAATAACTCAGAGTATTTATGTACACAGGTCGTATTATATTCTATCCTTTGAATTTTGCAGAAGCCACACCACAATGTTTTTTCTAAAGAATGTGGTTTGTAAAATAAAATTCGCAAAAAAGTTTTTGTGAACGTCATAGTAGACAAACTAATGAATAAATATAATACGGAAGTAATTAGCCTTATGCTTATTCTAAGCTAGACTTACTTAATAATTAGAATAACAAAAGTAGTCTGTGTATTTAATCTATGGCTATTAAAAAGTACCCGACTTACTCGTAAGAGAAGGGGGATTCTTGAGAAATTAATAATCAAGAGATTTTCAACTTTTACGGAACGCTAAGTTTTATCGCTATATTCATAACAGTTTTCCATAGGTCCCTGGCTTAATGTACTGTCCCGGCATTTGCCTTGGAAACTGAACAAAATTAGCCAGTTTTCCGAACGAGATTTTAACCTGGTACCACCCGAATACGAAGATTTAGTGTTAACCATCCTACCACGACGTATAATAGTTCCTTCTTATATCCCAGACCGTTTGCTTCAAAGACATTGTTTCTGAGCTAGGTATGTTGACACAGAACTTACAATTTTCAAATTTCGACACAAAATAATTCGTCCATG